TAAAAAAAGAGGAGCAATTATTTATGCCATTAATGAAGTACTTCAATTAGCCTCCGCAGGTGTATTTGCAGCAAGATGGTACCAAATACAAACAAGCACAGAAGAACCAGCAAGTTTCTACACTTGCCAGATGAAAAAAGGGACCGATACAGAGTGTCATTGATTGATTTGGAAAAAGTTTTGGGGCAAAACGAAAGCTCTTATCGATCTTTGAAGGTTTGACTGGAAACAAATTTGAAACTCCCAATTCATTCACCTGAATACATTTATTTGACTTTAAATGCAAGCCAACCCCCATTACCTTGCCCAGCTTTGAATAGTAAGAAAGACAGCAGTGAGGCATGACGTTATACCCGGTAAGCGTGATCTGTGCCAATGATCTCCAGATTTACAAAACTTTTTCTCTTCCCAATAAAAACCATTTCAAACCCCCTGCATCTAACATTTAAATGTCAACTCAGGCAAGTTTATTTTGCATCTGGTCAACCTTTTCCAATCATCTTCAGCAATTAGGAATTCTACACTGGAAAGAAAGCAGAGAAATCGCCACCACTGCCCCCAGGGTAACAGCTCCTTTTCCATTCTTTGACAGAAATCAAACAAAAAACCAAACCAAAGAGGCTGGCGACGTTTGGGGAAGGATCTCACTTGTGAGACCAGTTTTGGAGGCCAGGAAAGAAAGTCAATACATCCTTAATGAAACTCCTGTTGTCAGATTCCCCTCCCTCCCTGCCAGTTCCAGTCAGGAATCCGTACCCACTGCTGAATAATGATGTGCTGGTGCTCTCCGGAGACACAGTATACTGTGTGCTTTCCGTTCTGCTAAAGGGGCTTTCTGAAGATAAACACTGCTGCATTCACAGTCTCCTCAGGGGGGGGTTCCTTTAGAAAGTGGCTTCCGTGCTGGAGAGCCTTGCCAATCGAGCACAAGCACTCTGGACACCCTGCGTCGCCACGATGAGCGCCCCTCATCTTATTCAGACACCCCGCCGGCCGGCGCGGGTCTGAATTGACAAGCCAGGTAGAACTCGAGGCTGCCTGAAGAAATCCAGCGTTTGGGAAGTCAGGAGTAAGCCGGCGTCGAGCCCGTGAGGATCTCACGATGAAATAAAATGCAAACTGCTCGGCACAAATGCAGCATCTTGTACTAATTAAGCCTACGGCGAGATCACAGAGGCTCCAGCACGCACGGTAATTGGCGTGCTTTTAGGCCTCGCATTTTAGCGAGAGACGTGCTCGTGCACGGCGCCGTGGCTCCTGCGCTCTGAACAGCGATCAGAACGAGAAGCCCTGACCTTCCCACCCAGCTCCGCCAGCGAAAGGGAAGTTTGAAGTTTTCAAGCACTGCATTTTTCAAGCGATTCGGAAAAGGGCAAACGACTCGTCGCGCACATGGCCGAGTATCCCGGCGTTCCAAGGCGAGGGCAGGACGGCCAGGCGGCAGGGGGAGCTACAAAAAAAAAAAGTCGAAGCAGTAATCCCCTGCATCGGATCTGCAGAAACAAAGCGCCTCCCTTTCACACCCAACAGCTCTGATGCACAACGTCTCTACTAAAAGCAGCTTTCGCACGCGTGTCGTGGCAAAGTCCCTCTCGGAGACAAATCCGCGAGAGTGCACAGCGGTAATGTCAATCAGTCCTCAGACAGACACACTAATAGAGTAGCGCAGGAGAGCAGAGCCCCAGAGATGTGTCACTGTCACTAGAACGCCTTCAAACACAAGCCACAGAATCAAACCAGCAGCAAACAAAGGACAGCGTCTCGGCATTTAAACTTACAAAATCCTGGGGGAGAGCCCAACAGGTTTCCCTACTCCTGGCCCTGGAGACCCACAGACATGCTGGTCATCGTCGAAGCTGAACTCTTCATGGCCACAAATCCTCAAATGGACCAACAATTTGCTTGGTCGAAGCCTTGGAACTCAAAGGTCGGAGATTTCAAGTTACTTATGAAACACAGCAGTTAGAAGACATGCTCCCACGTTAAGAAACTTCCCGAGTTAAAATTAAACCGATAATGAGGCGCGTCAAGGGTTCAACTATTTAATCGCATAGTCAGATAGAACAAAGAGCAGCTAGGGTGGGGGTCCCCATGAGCAGATTAGGAACCCCTGACAGGGTGACCCGAGGTCTGCACACACAACACTTGTCAAAGTGCCACCGTTGGAAATACAGAGATACCCTGGAGACCCAGAGAGACACTCCAGATCTCCCTTTTCTCCTGAGTCAGAGCAAGAACCGGGTGATGAAGTATCGGACGCATCTCCAACACAATGAGCCCTGACACTTAGACCAGCTTAGATCTTTAAAAAAAATATAAGCTGCTTTCTTGTCAGCAGTATTATAGAAGAGCATATCTGAAAGCCTTTCATTCACAGTTACCTGCTGTAAGATTAAGTTCTAAGTAGGAAACCAAGTACAAAACTTCATATTACCCACACACACTTCTTTAGAAACAATTTACCTGAAATTCAACATTTTTTTATTCTTTTCACCTCTGACCTAGATACTACAAACAGGTGTTTAATTGTAAATAGGGATACCAAAGGATGGTTTTCCTTAAGCTATTTTCAGATAGATGTTTTTGGGAAAAAGTTTGCGGTCTCTTTCAAGTTGCATACAGCTGTACATGCGACATCACCGCAGACTGCTGTTCAGCGAGCAGTTTCTAGTACCTGCCTCGCTTTTTTTTTATCCTACCCAGATCCTAACATGCATGCAAATCCAAGTGAGAGCTTGCTCCCGGCCTTTTCACAACAAGTGGCAAATGAACACTTGGCATCCTGCGAACTTAGTTTCAGCCTCTACTTACATGAATCCTGATATGAGATGAGATCACTTTATTGGCCATATACAATTTCTTGCATTAGGGATTTCTCTTTTTGCATACCCCAACTTGCTCTCCATGAGACACACAGACAGGGAGAGAAGCTTGGGGTCAAAGCGCAGGGTCAGCCATTTATACGGCGCCCCTGGAGCAGTTGGGGTTAAGGGCCTTGCTCAGGGGCCCACCGGAGTAGGATTCCTCTGCCGGCTGCGGGATACGAACTGGCAACCTTCCAGCCACAGGCACGGATCCTTAGCCACAGAGCCACCGGACCGCCCCCCAAATTCAACTGATATGAATTCAGTTTTAACTTTCTCACATCTGAGAGCAAAACAGAACTATGAAGTCTTGAGGTGGCTCTCCTTCATAAAGCCCAGTCATGCAGAGGACAGCAGCTCTAGCCTCCCCAGAGTTGTGCAGGCAAGAGCCTCCAGCGTTAGGACTGGAGATGGGTAGGATATTGCCAGCTTGCTATATAACAGTAGCCCCCAGAATGTCTGTTCCACTAAAGACTGCTGTTCCCGTTGGGGCACTGTGGCATTGGCTGTGCATTTCAGATCGTGACGGGTTGAGATCATGGGCATGTCTGAGCAGAGGCGTTCTCCTCTCATTTGCCCCTGTCTCTAGTTTAGAGGTTGTAAGAGCTGAAGCTGGTATAAATGGAGCAGATTTACAAAATGAGTACATTTAGTCAATTTCCAAACAAAAAGTAATTTCAAATATGGGGAGGGGGAAACGATGAGCTAAAGGCACAAAGCACAGAATCTAAGGTTCCAGAGAAGCAGACCTCACCACAACTGAAGCGCTGTGCCAACTGGGCAGTTCACTCTCTCTGTAATCCACCTGCTGCCCTGATCCCCGGGGCAGAGAGAGGGAAAGGCACTTCTCTTTCAGCTCACGGATCAGTATGAAAATGCCATTGATATCATGGAATGTCATATTTGAAGTTGTGCAGTGCATGGTAAGACCCCCGTGAAGAATACCGTGAAGAATTTGGCCAACTGGAACCCAAAAGCTGGAATCAGAGAAGTGCATTTATAACCGAGAACAGAAGGCAAATCCTTTACACGATAGGTGGCGGGAGCGTGGAACAAGATGTCCAGCAGTGTTTTTGGAACTGATACCCTGGCTTCCTTCAAGAAAAGGAAAGAGATTCTTGGATAAATTAGCTGTTACCAACCTACACTGGCCCAGTGGCTGCTATTTTTAATCTTTCTTCCACTTCTTGAGAAATACTGACGTCTGGAAAAGGAATCTGATTCACTAGGTGCGACGGATACTAGTTCTACTAGAGTTCTAGGATCTCCTGGCTGCTGCCCCAGGTAAACACTCTCTTCCTTAAATGACGTGTTCGATTAACTGGAAAAATAACTTCACGACAGAAAAGTCACAAAAATGTTTCATAGGTGATCTACACTCAATAAAGCCCGTCTTTCAACTGTCTGCTTTCAAACACTGTGCTGCTTAGCCAATAATTAAAATCAGCAGGTCTCCAGCTGAACTGAAAACGAGGAGGACCAGCAGTGCTCTGAGGAACTGAGTCCGTCACCTTTGTGGCACGCAGTGGACTGCCTTGTCTTCTCTAGATGGTATTTTCCCTTGTCGCCCCAAAAACCCTGCACACCTCAGCCTAAACCACAGCCAGCAACACTGCACCACAGCCCAGAGTCACTGGCCCCTCACACAAGGGAGAACGCTGCTGACAAGCACAAGTGGAGATGGCGTTCCTTCCCTTGCCCTCCTAATCAGCACTTGGCTGAGGCACTTGTGGGGCTGTTAGAGGTGTAATACAACTTTGCCACACGACAGCATAGCTGGGAAACCCCAAACTTGGTCTCGCGCAGCTGTGCGGCTATCAAGGTCTGCCAAATCCGGGAGAACAAATTTGTGAATGAGGGACATGTACACCAACCTTTTCACCTCTCTTTTGGTGTCTCCTGACAGAACGCTTTGAGAACAACTAAGCTCCTCTTGTAACAGGGGGTTCTCAACAGTTATAGAAAACCAGAAACAGTCGTTTTAAAAAGCATACCACGTTCTAAAAGGGCAGGCTTTAAACACATAAAACAAACCCTTCCCTGACCTCAACAGTCACCTCAGTGAAGCTATCAGGTCTTGTTTAGCGCCCATGGGCGAGTTTGACATCGCAGGTGACAGGAGAAGAGGGCACGTACCTGGATTTCTTCGAACGCCTCGTCGATGGTGGTGACCTGGTGCTGCTCGTGGACGGCCGGCTCGTCGCAGAAGAAGCAGACCAGCGTCTTGTCACTGAGGCAGAAGAGCTTGACCTTCTCGTGGTCCTTGCAGGGGTACGAGTTCCTCTGGGCATTGAGGATGGCGTCGAGCGGGAAGGCGGAGTACCTCTCCACGATGTTGGAGAGCTTGAGGCTGGGGGACAGGAGCGGGTCGGCGAAGGTGCGGCGGCACTCCGGACAGTCCCGGGCTCCGTGGGGCTCCTGTCTGCTCCAATGCTCCGTGATGCACTTCCTGCAGAAGTAGTGCTCGCACCCGAAGCTGACGGGGTCTTGGTAAATACTCAGGCAGATGGAGCACAGAAGCTCGTCCTTCAGACTGCAAGCCATTTGCAAGCACACTTTTAAAGCTGAGGCATTTAAACGAAATCACTCCACTGTACGGCTGGGCACTGGGTCCGAGGTGCACGGTGCGGAGCCCCTAAATCCCCCGGGGAGTGTCGACTATGGCAACAGAGACGACACAATCGCGACGTGAATGGTTTTTGCGGGCACTTGCCGTCGCAGATGAAGTAAGAAAATAAAAACTTCACAAGGGTTAATTAATCAATCCTAAGAAAATGTGAAACAGAGCACTCCGCGGCGCACACGGTATCGCCCAACCTGGCACTGTGAACAGACGACAATCTGCAATCTTGTTTAGACAACAGATAGCAGTTGCACTACCTTTAAACACAAAGAGGAACTCCAGTCAAAGCCTGCTATTTAGACTTCTTCTGAAAGCCCATCTATAAAACGGCACCAAAGCTGTCACGATTTTTTTTTATCAGAGCTGTTTAACAACACTTCCTTTTATCTTCGCCTAACAATAAAACAATGCCCTTTCCTCGGATTACAAAAAAAACCCCACGGCGCTCGGTGTCAGTACGGAAACTTTATGATCTACTTTAATAATGACGCGGGGTCGCTCGGCTGTGTAAGATCAGCAGCATCCCCGTTCAGAATTACAGTAATTTTCTTTAACTTATCCAGCGGAAGCACCTAATTACCGACTCCCACAGAGGTGCTTTCTCACTCGCTTCGCTGTTTTTTTTTATCCTCGCCGTGCCCGTATTTCGGTATGTCTCTGCAGACACAAGCTCGGGCTTCTCAGAAACTCTTATGTGTCCGTTACTTCACCTTAAAACCGGCGTCTTTTCCTCCCAATTCAAATCGCTAGTTGCAGATGGGCTCCTGCTCGGCTCTCCTGAACACCCACCTCCGGCAGCTATCTGGCGAGCTAACTCGTCTTCCTAAACAGACCCCGCAACCGTCCCTCTGCTAAACCTTGGGCTCCGTGCGCAGCTGAACGACTTCAGCTCCTCTTCGCCCAAACTTGCGGGATTACCGAGCCGGACACGGCGTCGCTGCCTTAGTTTTTCCGCTTTTTGTGAACTCTGGATCCGCAATATTTCCCCCCTCCTCTCTCCGCCTTTCCCGGTGTCCCTCCACCTCCGAAGCCCAGTTCCCAGTGTCTCCCTCAATCCAGGAAGGAGCAGGAGCGGAGCGCTGGGATAAACCAATCCGTCACCTGCGCGCACCATGGGGGGTGGGGGGGGGATCTGTGGGGTTGCCTCCGAAAAACAGCCGAGTGTCGCGGCTACCTTTACACATGGGCGCTGTGGTTAGGTCATTTTATTCATTTGTCCGGATTGTTTTATGTTTCCAGCGCCCCAGTCGCCGACAGGAGCGAAGTCGTGTGGCGGTGTCCCCCCGCCGCACGGCGGTGGATGCGCGCAGACTTCCTCATTGTTCTGTGCGGAGAGGGTCGGTGCTTCAGCTTATCCCTGTGAAGAACAGCTGATTGGTAAAGGTGACGGCAGTAATTAGTCTCGGCTGTAACGTTATCGCAGCACAGAGCACGTTGGTAGTTTTTGCCGATTTCCTGATGATACACAAAGTCTAGTTTTTCGAGCTTGCCTGTGTGTGTTGCTTTTCATGGAACAGCTCTCTCGGCTTGCACATTTTTCTCCTGGTTAGCAAGCCTAACCTGTAGGGTTATAAGTATGTATTTTGCATTAAAATAAAAAAAGAACAAATGTTGAGTTTTTAAATGTTTACATAGCTATGGCACTAGGAAGTGTGAAACACTTGTAGGGTTTCTAGAGCTGCGTGAAAAGATCGTCACGCAAGAGATGCCTGTAGTTCATTTATCCAGTAAATGCGGACGGGCTGGTTATAAACTTGAGGCACACTAATGGTTTGCGCACTATGTCAGAAACTAGCACAAATTCCTCTTTTGAGAGATAAGATATTTTACTGTGCAGCCTTATCAAGAGGGTTCATGCTGCATTCTCCATTCAGGTCCTGGGACCTGATTGTTTTCTACTCTAAGGTTGGAGGCTTTGTGTTAGTGCTGTAGCACTGGACTGAACCTGAGTGAGCTCCGCATGTAGAAAAACCTACAATGTCCAACCCTTTCACACCTCCCCAGTACACACACCTGCTGCCTTTGAGCCACTCCTGCCTCCTGGACTGTGGTATTACTCCACATGGCTGTAGCTCAAACCCTCAGATTCATCAGACCCTGCTGTCTGGACCTCATCAGGCAAGCTCCACACCCCTGCTCACTGTACTGCCAAGACCTGTGCAGTGTCTGACGAAGAGACTTGCGTCTTGGTAGCAGCCATCAAATCAAATCAACGTTTATTTATCAAATGCACAACAATACAGCGTGCAGCAGTAGTTGCTGGCAATGAAATGTCTTTTCTCCGAGCTCACAAAAATCACAAATCTTGGTGCCACGTTTGCTCTGGCACAGTTGATCAGTTCTCTAATGAACTGGCACTCCCACTTCTGCAGAAAGAAATCTGCCAGTGCTTAGCATCTCATCTGGGTGTTTATATTCCCTCTATAAGAGCCAAAATTTGAGCTTTTAGAAATATTTTTCCTCTCTGGCATTTTGCGGTTGTATGTCTTCTCTTGTGTAATTGGTCTTGCCTGAATAGCCAAATCAAATGTTACAGCCACCTTCTGTAGATCTTATATCTTCTTTGACATCATTAGCCTGTACTTTGTAGTGTCTATGGAATGAAAATAAGTTGGATCACTGCTTAGGCATCTGACATCTGTTTGAGGAATTAGTGATCTGTGTTATTGATTAGCTGACATTTTAACTATTGATCATAGAGATAGGCTGTACAATTGTGTGAATGCAGTATATTTATTCATGTTTGTTATCTGTAAAAAATTAAATACCTTTTTTATTTTAAATGTAGTATATAATATCTTGAAAAAGTATTCAGATCCTTGTACAGTTTTCACATTTTGTTGCTTAAAAGCCTGCAGTCATGATATTTTGAAGTACGAAATAATATTTGTTATATTAACAGCATACTTTTCATGTTTAAAGCAAAACGAGTAAACAGATAATTAATGCGAAAGAAAAATGAAAAATTATAATTACAGAAACCCTTTGCTGTGGCAAAAGTAATTTAGGTACACAAAATTACTTTAACAAGTCACATAGTAATGAGTGGCCTCTGTATGCAATACAAGACGTTCATAAGATTAAATATGCTTATTTCAGTAAGGTTCCTCTTTCAGGTACTGTAGTTAATTTTAGGCAAAGATTTTCTTATGAAGATCAAGGAACTTTTAAAACAATACCAGCACAGAGTTGTATAAAGACACAGACCTTGTCTGACTCTGGGTCTCCTGTTTGTCCCCCAAACTTTTCTACATTCTGTGGGTGACAGGGACATCTCTTGTTGCACCCCCAAAGCTCTGGAATTTTATTCCCAAGGAAATCATAGAGTTACCTTCCCTAAATGTATTTAAATCTAGACTCCAAAACTTTCTTTTCACTAAAGCTTTTGTTCAATGACTGTCTCCAATCTCTAATGATCGTGCATCTTCTGCTGCACTTCTTACAGCTTGTGTTTCTTATATGAACTTATTTTTTACTGTACTTTACTAGCCTTATAACTTTTTTTCCTTTGTTTATGCTGCTTTTTTCTTTTTAACACATGCTGTAAAGCACTTTGAGATGCTTATTTTAAAGCTGGTATATTTTGTGATTTCCACAAAATGGGACATCTTTTGAAAGGGACCATGCTGAGGAACTGTAATGCTATTTGTTACATTTGTACTTCATTATAATGTTTTATTTCGGATATGTTTATGCACCATCTATGCAGGAATACAAATCCTTTTATTTTCTGTGACACAGTCTGTTCACACCATCCTCTGAAATCTGGCCTCCAGCTGAGATTAGTCAGCGGCACTGCATGTCTTAGGTGTTGTTAAAATCAATTTTTTTTATTTTCATTCTTAGATTTTTGGATGTATATTAATCATGAAGCAGAAGCGTGCAAACAGGAGTCTTGCATCTTTCAGGTTCCTTTTTCATAAAACAGCAGCATCAGAAAAAGTAGCAACAAGGCTGATTGCCAGTGGATAAAACTGTATTTGAATCTCACTCCTGCAGGCTCCAGCAATCTCTTGTCTGGAAAGTGGCACACCCACAAGATATTCCTGTTTGTTTCTGCTCGTTTTGTGCAGAGCCATTGTGTGCAGTCAGAACTGTTTAAACAGGTTCAGCTTGAATGGAAATGACACACTAACCACCTGTGGGCTCTCACTGCAGAAAAAAAAAACTGCTCTGCTTCTGCATGTAAAGAACTGTACGTTTCTAAATCGAGCTTGGTCAAAATATTTTCAACAGCTAGATCCGCAGATCAGTGCAGACTTGTGTGTACATTACAGTGCAGCAGCTCTGGTTTTTTTGCTTCATCGCTCTTTTACTTTAAAGAGTCAAAAACACATTTCTGAGTGAAAGTCATTGAATCCTCTTTCCGAAGTGGTACAGCTTGGCCCAGCTCTTTCTGAGAGAACAGCTGCACAATACTACCCTCGCTCAGATCGCCAGGTATAGTTATGTACCTTAATAAATAAAGTTGTGCTCCTCAGGTAGAGCTCAGTAATTCTAATTGAATTTGTATAAAAGACTGAAGAGTATAACTAGAATAACAATCCAATGGTCTGCAGTACGTGTTACAATGAAAGGGACCTCTGCAGTCTTGGTCCTGTATGACACAAGGTCATCTATGTGTTATTCTGATCTCTTTTTGTTAACAATCTTTAGTGACTGTTTTAATACATCTACAAAAGCTGAAGGACCGAGGATGGGTAACCATTGTTCTAGAAACAGCTCCTGTAGAGACCAGAGTGATAACAACCTTGAAAGGTATGGAACACATAATAAAAATAATTGCTTACACTTATATAGTGCTTATCTGGACAATCCTCTCAAAGCGCTTTACAGGTAATGGGGATCCCCCCATCCACCACCAGTGTGCAGCCCCACCTGGATGATGCGACAGCAGCCAAATTGTGCCAGTACGTTCACCACACACCTGCTATCAGTGGGGAGGAGAACAGAATGATGAAGCCAGTTCAGAAATTGGGATTATTAGGAGGCCATGATTAGTAAAGGCCAGGGGGGAAATTTGGCCAGGATGCTGGGGTAGTCTTTTCAAGAAACACCCTGGGATTTTAAAAGACAGCACAGAGAGTCAGGACTTCAGTTTATGTCTCATCTGAAGGATGGCGCCTTTTTACGGTATAGTGCCCCATCACTATACAGGGACATTAGGACCCACACAGACTGCAGGGTGAGCACCCCCTACTGGCCCCACTAAGACCTCTTCCAGCAGCAACCTTAGTTTTTCCCAGGAGGTCTCCCATCCAGGTACTGACCAGGCACTGACATAACCAAGAGGTTACTAAATAGTCCTGATAATAATGGCAGGATGTGCTATTTCTCCACTGGCTTTCACCATGGCATTGAAAGATATAATTAGCACACCAAAATGAGTAGTGGGAAGTGAATGCCCAATTCCTGGCACACAACTTCTTCCACTTACAGTTCATGGATTACATAACCTCCACACCCACAGCAGAGTGCACAGACTGCTAGCTATCTAGCAGATAACACTAAATGGGCAAGAATGAAATGCAAATTCTTCTAAATCCAGACAAATTTCTGTCCTCAGAGGAAAAACAGTTACAAGGTTTACTGTAAATTGATGGCGAAACTATTCCCAACATGTCAGTGCTACCTGTCTTTTAAGATGGTACAAGACATGGTAAGACACAGTCCATGTGGGGGGCATCAGACAACAGGTAGAACATTTAATCCAATCAAGTTTCCTAAATCCGCGGTGGCTATCTCAGTTTCTTCCTTCCACCTTTCCTTCATAATTTAACTTATTCAGCCCTTAATTAAACCACCCGATTGATCTTTATTTTCTGCACCCAGGATTTAGTCTCAGAAATAATCACTTTCAGTTGCATAATTTCCCAGAAACATAGTGAGAAGAATTCTATTTAAAATTGTTGCTCCCCTACAGCTTTCCAAGCGCCTCTTTATCAATCAGTTACCGATGTGCAGACCCAGGTGGAGATGACATTAAGCATTGTTAGTAATTGAATTTACCCCTTCGGGTCCATACAGCAAATCATAGAAACAGAAAAATAAGTAAGAGGTAAGCTGAAACCCAGCATT